CTCATTCTGTGACTCTGAACAGTCTTGTTGGTGCAGGATTGGAGTTAGGTTTGCCCCTTTAAAAGTCTTGTCATTTATTATACAAGCGGCTGCACCTACAAACTGATCTCTGGGACTTCCAGTGAAGTGGAAACAATTTGCACTCTAAAACAGGAAACCAGTATCTTAATCAAAGCAGCAGAAGGGAAACCATGCTTTAGGCAGAGCTAAAGCTATTGGTTTCACTAATAATGGTGGAGGACTGAATAGCTGGGCTTCACCTCAGAAAGTAAAGTTGCAAGAAGCAAAGACGCCCAGCGTGCGGCTCAAACCGATGATCCAGAAATTAAGAGTCTTAGGCTGTACTGACTAAGCTAGCTGGGCTCAATGGAAAGCTGCTTATTTTCCCATTTCGAACTGAGCCAAATCCCCTGCAACCTAATTTCAATGTGCCAAAGATGATCCACCTGGAAAAGCACAAGTTTCCAGTTCATTCCTCTCAATCACAAATAACATCAGTCACATCTTCCACTTTTCAGCTGTTACTCCTTCAGAACATTATAATCCATTTTCAGCGTTTGTTCCGGGATTTAACATTCAAAATTCATATTTTAATGTCGGTGCCCTCACCCTTGAGCTGCCCATGCGACTGTCAGTCACTCTGAGAGACGATGAATCTGCTTCAATAAACCCAGTCATTTCTGTTACACACTGTGCGAAATGCGTGTCTGTCTGCCCAGTCTCACTCAATACATTCAGCACTTTGTTCAGCACATCAGCAAATTCTGCAGCTTCGAATCTGGGGACTGGATTTTCACAGTTCAGCTAAAAAGATTCGATGGTCAAGAAGAATTTGCTGCAGCCATTGTGAAATGTAAAATGATTTTCGCCCTTTTCCACACGGCAACATCTGTTCAGAAGGAACAGGTTTCCACTCGTTGCATCAGTTGAGGTTTTCCAAGTAAGGCTCAGAGTAATTCCACTCATTTGCAGATTGTGTCAATGTTGCTGTGAAGTTTTCTGAGCGGGATGGAATCTCACTGTGTTTTCCTGAGCCTGTGCTCGGTGCATTGAGAGGTTTGGCTCCAGTTGGAGGATCTTACTTCCCAAGGATGGACACGAAGCAGCTGATTGAATCTGCAGTGACCGCTTTCTGCTGGCAGCGGAGGATTGGAGAGTGCGGGGTCAAATCCTACTGCTTGTCCCTGTCTCACTCCGTGTGGAGCAGGGGAAGAGAAAATCATTCATGGGTTTATTTGATTCCAATCTCTTCATAGATTTCTATGAATTAAATGAAGGTACATTTTGATAATAACTGGATTAAAACCTGTATGTCCGGGGTCTGACTGGATAACTGTGGAGCTGACAAAGTTTCGAAGCTATCTCCTGACGGTACAATCCCGATTGACAATCTTCTGTGTCACCGGAAACGTCGATGAGTAGGAAAACACAAGAGGCTGCATTCCTGGGTAGTCTCAAAACACCAGTCTTTCTCTCAATATCCGAATGCACTGACCAATTGCAAAACAGAACCTGATAACATTAGGCTCTGCAAAAGCTCCTCATGCAGGGAGTCAGCCTCATTGCGCAGCTGGAGGCCTTTCAGTTTTCAGAACCTATCACCGGTTTATGTGTGATGCTTACATGCAGTAGAGTTGTGGTGTTAGCACGGACATGAGCAAGAACTGTAACATTCACAGCATGAACAACCAACAAAGATAATCACCGTCACTGCTTCACTTCAAGTTCCCTGATTTGTGAAGCCATGAGTTTTACTGGCAAAGAAAATACATTTGTCGTCAGGAGGCTCCTTCAGTGTCTCCTCTTTTTCTGCTCGATTCACCACGAACTTCCTTTCTGCTGTTCCACAAGCACTTCTCCTTCTCCTTTTCTTGTATTCTCATCCCTTCATTCACAGTTTGGTCGGAATAACGAGGTGAGGCTGGATAAACTGTAGCCTTACCAGGGAATGTTGTGGTAATGGCACAGACATTTTTCTTTTCCTTTCTGTCAGTGAGCAGCCATTTCGAATGGAGAATTGGTCTTTTCAGTGTCTATCACAAGATGTGTCTCCATTTGTCTCTCTTTGACTCTGTGTCTCCACCTCACCCCCTTTCACATTCTCCGACACTCCATTGTCCACATCCCTCATTTCCCATTTCTGATCTTTGAAAAGATCACCCTCATTCATTTTTACACCAACAGTAAAGGCATCACGATAATATTATAATTGTGGTGGCATTTCTTTTTTTTCTGGTGGATGAGGAATTCTACTTTGAATTCTGAAGTTTCACAATTTTTTGAGACAAGAAATGACTCCTTACCTCAGTCATAATAGACAGACACATTATCAAGGAATGTGAGCCCAGTACTAGACACTCCACTCTCAAAGTGTCTCCGAATTTCAGACTTTTCAAAGAGCAGAAATGGGAAATGGGGGATGTAGACAATGGAGTGTCGGAGAATGCGGAAGGGGGTGAGGGGGATACAAAGAGTCAAAGAGAGACAAATAAAGACACATATTGTGGTAGACACTGAAAGGACCAATTCTCCATTTCACATGGCTGCTAACTGAGAGAAAGGAAAAAAAAGGCAACCATTTAAGCAGAGGTTTTCAGCAACTCATGGCAACGGAAGCAGCATTACAGCTGATGAAGTCCCTTTAAAGTTGTAAAGTTGGCGTGAGTAAGCTAATGAGAGAGCGATTTTGATAAATACGTTGATTCGACAGATAAAGGGAATAATTTCCCCTGACCTTATAATGTAGAAATGCATAATTAACGTAGTAGGGATGAACGGTCAGTGGATCTGAAACGTCAGCTCTGTTTCTCTCTGCAGATGCTGCTCGGCCTGTTGAGTTTCTCTACCAATTTCTGTTTTGTGTCAGGTTGCCTCAGTTCTTTGTTTTATGTTAACCTGCACAACGTTTGGGACAAATCAGATCAGCTGCTAGCTCATGATCAGTCAGAAGTGCTGGCACCACGATAAATTAGCATAGCAGAGCTTCTATTTCCTGAGTGGGAATTGAACCCAGACAGCGGTGTTGAAAGCGCTAAACCCTAACCACTCGACGACCAAGAAACACAGCAGAGCAGCTCGTGTCTTTTCTTAATGACACTGCTTTTGCGTTTTCATTTCTGATCATATTCGCTGCAGATCGGTTTCTCCGTCTCTGAGTTTTTACCAGCGTGGAAGAATACCATCTGGCCCATCGTTTCAGTGCAGCTCATCAAACCTCCATCCATTCTCGTCCCAGTTTCCAGCATTTGGCCCATAGCCTTGTGTGCTTTGACTTTACGAAGGCAAATGTCAATGCATTTATCCCTGTGATGTCAAATAACACAACAAATGGGCCTGGAGTTTGAGATGGTAAAACTGTGTTAATACCCCCTTGAGGAACTCATCCTCATTTTCACCCACACAGGGAGACACAGGGGCACATCCCCGAGAGTGACAGAGACCTCAGGATTATACCTGCTCCATGTCCTTCACGTCCGCTCTCCGTCCCCAGGCTCAACCTTCAGCGATAAAAGGCAGCTTTAGGTGGAACACAAGCAACTTCTCCAGACAATGAGAACTGTTTCCGTGAGCTGGGATACAAAATGGACAGTTGAGCTGAAATAGTCTCACAGGCTGCTCACGTGCAACTTTCAATTTCGAATACTCACCGACCCAATCACTGCATTACCTTAAATCGTGTGAGATTTTATGCTTCTTGCTCTCTAACAGGCAGTAATTGGCATATGTCCCTGTTAACCGATTTGGGTGAAATATTCGTCGGCCACCTCTCCTGTAATACCTTTTGCAAACAAGAATACAATGAACAAATCCCTTTCAGATCTCAACCGTAGTCGGCGGTATTCAAACAGCGCAGGGTTTGCCAATTGATTTCAGTCCATCGCCTTAACCGCGCGGCCACGAATATACACGTCGCAGCGCTGGCTCTGCTTTCCAGGTCTCTCTCTCTCTGTGTGGAGGTGAGGAAGAGTGAATCATGACTCGGTTTGTTTGAATCCAATCACTTCGCAGATTTCTAAAGGGTTAAATTCAGTACATGGTAGATCCGGCTGTTTCATCCCAATAGATGGGATGAACATTCATTTAAAAACACAAACATAAATTTCAGGAAATGCTCAGCAGATCTGGCAGAGAATCAGTCTCAACGTTTCAGAACTCTGTTTTATCCCACAGGTACTGCCAAACCTGCTGAGTTTCGACAGCAGTTTTTGTTTGTTTCATTGTCCCGTAGCCGAGATGAGATTTGAATTCCTGATGTGCAGGAACGAGAATCCTTTCAATGACTCAAGTCAGTGCATGTCCCGAGAACCTCAGAGTCAATGTCCCAGCCTTGAAAAGAAGGGGCAGGTGTCTTGACTGTTTGCGCTCAGTCGGAAAGTTTACCCTTCTTTCTCCTGTTATTCCGGTTTCCAAGAATTTCTAAAGATTCAAAAAGCTGGAGACTGGGTTTTCTGTTTTGCTTCCTTACATCCCACCACTCCCACCTCCTCCCCTCCAACTGTCAATATTTTCCCAATATCTCTTCACAATCCTCCGCCTTGCAACATGTCCAGGGATGAGGAAATCCCGTTTAGTGGAGTGATTCCCGAGATCGGAAATGTTCTCTTTGGAGCAAAAAAGTTTAACCAGAGATTTCCAGGGGGTGTTCACAATAGTGGGGGAGGGAGTGGCGGGAATAGGCGGGGTGATGGTCGGGAGAAACTGTAGCCACTGACCAGGGTCTGTTACCAGAGGACTGCAATTCAAGATATTTAATGCAAAACCATTTATGTAGATTAATCACAGAGAATACTAAAGAAACTCAACACGTTTAGTGGTACGTGTGGAAAGAGAAACAGAGCTAAAGTTTCGAGTCTGGTAAGTTTTTTGTTCAGAACTTGTGTTTGCTTAATGTCAATAAATGGCCAGACTGTCCGGTTGGTTAGTGAGATGGATTTTTTCGAGTTTGAGCGGCAACTGAATGATCAGAAGGTTATTTGCAAATAAGACACGTGTTTAGGAAACGTAGTCGGCAGGATTCGAACCTGCGCAGGAAATCCCAAATGAATTTTCTAATCCATCGCCTGAACCACTCGGCCACGACTACAGGGGCGGAACGCTACCCTTTGACATTTCTCATGGAATGGTTTCACACGGAAAGAGGAGCATTCGGCTTGTCTTGTTCATGCCACAATCCTTACATTTCTTGTCATCCTGTATTTGATCAGAACGGAAACTGAATTGAACTACATTATTGAGAAATAGAGTCAATGGGAAGAATCCATTTCTATGAGCAGAGAGATTAATAGTCAGATGAACTGGTTGAGAAAGAGAGATGTATTTGTATTTTGAAAGCTCCTTTCACCACCATCTAAATCACAACCAATGGAGGACTTCTGAAGCAGATTCTTCATTGGCCAATCTAATGTGCAAATCAGGGCAGTTTGTTTAACCATAGGTCAAAAACGAAACTGTTTCAAATACTCACAATTGGCGCTGGATGTGCCAGTGAGTTCATAACTAACTTTGGGGGTTTGCTGTGCTCTGATTTACACCCGGGTGCGTAATCTCAGGGGAAGGTGTTGCCCATTTAATACAGAGATGAGGGGAATGTTCTCCCATTCAGACAGTAACAAATCTGTGGAATTCTTCCAACAGAGTTCTGATAAGGCTGGGTGTATTTAAGGCTGAGATAGACAGAGATTTAGTCATTTAGGGATTCAAGGGCGACGGTGATAAGGCAGAAAAGTGGAGTTTTGGATTAACCATGATCTCATTTAAAGATGTAATTGACCTGAAGGGCCGAAATACTTCCATCTGTCCCAATGTCTTGTCTGTCATTTGAAAAATGTGAGACAATTGTAAAAGAAGAATTAAAGGTCGTTTATAAAAGGTTATTGCAGTCAAACACAGTCAACATCGTTTGTTGAAAGGCAAATCACACTTGATAATTGTGCCAGACTTCTTTGGTTATATTACAAGCACAGTTGATAAAGGCAAACGGCAGATAAAGTGCATTTGAATTTTGAGCAGGCACTGAATAATGAGTCATATCTCAGGTCATTGCACAAGGTAGGAGTTTACGCTGTTAGGTATAAATGAGCATGGGCTGCCCATTGTTTAATTAACATAAAATACAAAATCGGGATTAATGGGTATTTTTCAAGTTGGAAAGATATGATTTGTGGAGTGTCAGATTGGTCAGTCATAGGGCTGCAATTATTTATCTCTGTATTAATGACTTGGAGCAAGTGCCAGAGTGCAATGTGTTCAGTTTTGCAGAAGATACGAAATAGGCGGAGGGCATGTTGTGGTAAGGACATGCGAATCTGCAAAGGGATATAGATAGGTTGAGTAAGTGGACAAAAACTTGGCTAATGCAGTTTCATGTCGGCAGTGTGAATTTTGCACTTTGGTAGGAAGAGTCAAAAGGTAGACTACTATTAAAATCGAGAGAAATTTCCAAAAAAAAAAAAAATAGGGTACAAAGGAACCTGAGTGTTCTTGACCATGAAGCAAACAAAGGTGAATGACATATTTATTTTTCTGGCAAAAAATGTCCTCCTTTCCTAAAGTTCACAATGAAAGAGATGATTTCCCAGGAAAAGACAGAAACTAAGTACGTGTAAATTAATCGAAGGCCAGGATACGTCCAGTGTTGTTCTCTGGGACATATTTGATATATTGCTTATGGTTCTGTAAACTTTATTTGCAATGGTGCTGGGAGTGGGAGAGGGGGAAATTAAGGTCACCCATGATTACTGACATCCCTTTATCTGTCACATACAATATCTTTTTTTTATACGTTTGTTTTCATGTTGTGGTTACTGTTAATAGGCTTGTAGACGACACCCACTGGTGACTTCTTTCCCTCACTATTCCTCATCTTTACACAAACAGATTCTACATGCTTATCTGCTGAATTAAGGTAATCTCTAACCATTGTCCAAATGTCACCACAACATCGGCATTTCACACGCCTCTGTATGCCTTCTTGCAATATTAATTGATCCTGTACTGTGTAACTATTGCATATATTAAAAGAAAATAAAAGGGAAAACAAACACTGCCGTGATTAGGTTTCGAGTCGAAGCTACTGTGGCTATACGCAGAGTATTGGCCATTATACGACCATGGCGCTTCACAACGAGGCACCAGGAAACGTACAATAAGCACACTGCTGGAGGGCATGCCAGGAGCAGCACCAGAAACACAACAGAAATACTCATCAAATAGCATACTGAAATGAGTGGACAAAATCTATCGAATTCAGGGCCATGGAGGATGTCAATGTCCAGCATTCAGAGTGTACAAGACTGAGATTGATAGATTTTGATAGATTAAACATATTAAGAAATCATGGGATAGTACAGAAAAATGGCAGTGAAGCAGGAGTTTGTACATAATTCCATTGATCAGCGAGGCAGGTTCAATGGGCTGAGTGGCTACATCATATTTGTTATGTTTCAAAACAAAAACATTACTTTCTTATATTCACTTGGCAAATGTCATTAATATTCGGGTGGAAATGAAGTAATTCTTCTGGGCTGCGGTCTTGTATGTATTTCTCAATTGGAAATCGAGTTTTACATCGGCTGCATCAGCAGTTTCCTCACACAAGGAAGTAACCACTGCTGCAGAAGATCATTTAACCCCAGTTCCCAGCCCTGGAATCAGAGAAATTCAGTGCCCTAACATTCTATATATGCAGAGTCAATCGGATTCTAATCTTAAATCCCTATTCCGGTCAATCCTTGAAAAACTTGATAACCTTTGCTTCGCACAATATCTCTCTATCTGCCTTAAAAATATTCAAGAACTCTGCAGGTTGCAGCGGAGATTTACAAGAATGTTGCCAGGACTGGATAAGATGAAACTTTGCAGAATGTTTGGTTAGGCTGGGACTGTTCTCCTGGGAACACAGGAGGCTGACTGGAGTTTATAATCATAACAACATTTATTAACATTCAATATTCTTAGGGGCCTTGACAGCGTAGATATGAACAAATGGTTTCCCCGAGCAAGAGAGAGAAGGACTATAGGACATCATATCCAAATAAGGTTTAGCCCGTTTAATTCGGAAATGAGGAGGAATTTCTTCGCTCAGGGGCCAGTGAACTTGTGGAATTCTTACCCGTAGACGGCTGTTGAGGCTGGATTGTTGGGTATTGTCAAGCTGAGCTAGACAGACGTCTAATCAGTAAGATGGTCAAGAGTTACCCAGGTCAGGCAGCAGAATGGAGTTGAAGATTATCATTGAAAGATGCAGCAGGCTCGTTGGGTCGAATATTTCTGCTCCTAATTTATTCCTACTGCTCCTCCATCAATTTGTCCATGGTCTTATTTAATCGATAGCTTAAAATTGTTTGGGTGGACTTGGATAAAATTATAGTCTTAGTTTCACGCTGTCACGCCTTGTGGCTAATCATGGACCTTTCACTCCGCTCCCTCTGCATTTGTTTTCCACCGATAACATTTTGGATTCTTCCAACTGAATGTAAAGTCATTCTAAGTAAGACTGACTGCCAGCACCACCCCACGAACATTCAACGGCCTGGTTTATCTTTGTTAAGAAGCCCTGTCCACTATGACTACTCACACAACAGCAACATGGAGTCATTCTCTGTCTGAATTTTAAACCAAGGCTACAATGGAGAAAGCTCCTTCCTAACGACGAGAACATTAAAGAAGCTACAACTTAACAGTGAAAGTTGGTTCATCAGCATTTCTTCTGCCTTGTTCCTTATTCCTTGTGTCAGTGAATTAAATCTGCCTCTCAGTCTGTCACAGACTTTCACTTTTGTTGTTTTTACAGAGTCGTGCCTTTACACTTAGAAAATGCTGGGAATACTCACAATCCTGTCCCTCCCTACCCGCGAATAAGCATTTCTTTGATCAAAATAAAACATGTCACACAGGAAGAAGAAATCTTCAGAGTCTTGGAAAACCTTCAGGAGGAGACCTCTCAGTTCTCTGCTGTAATCATAGCAAAAAGATCATTCTCGCTTGGATTCTGTTCGTCACAGAGAGTTCGGGGAGACCGTAAAGATCCGATGCATCTTCAGTGCGCCCTATTTCTTGAATTTCAAAATTAGGCGATTTTCAGGTTCATGACTTTCGACTCATTGTTCTGTTGTCCTGGCAATACATCCACATGATATATATTTCCTGAAGACTTTGCCTGTAACTCACACAACAATCAGGATGCGGACAGCACCAACCAGCATTGGAACTGAACTCATTGCCTGCCATTGGATTTTACCGATACAGTCTATAAAATTCAGCCTCACCGTTAATGCGAAGAGGGGCTGTGGGACTGTTGTTCAATAAAGATCATTCCAACTGTAAAAGGAATTGATTTTGATTGGAAATATTTCTTTCTGAACTCACTGCCATCTGCTTTAACAAGAGGAGCTGAAATCTCCTAATAGATTGAAACGTCAAGTTGCGTGTTTACAAATCAAGTGAGGAAAATATCTGTATAATGTTAGCATTGTTACTGACTGAATGAAGCGGCTTCCCAGAGGGAGGCAGTTGTGTGTTCAAATCCCACGATGAACACTTTGTGTTTGGGCAAACAACATCCCTGCCGTAGTGTTCCCAACATAAAACAGACAGGAAAGTACCATGCGCAATTGAACAGGAGAAACACTACCAAGCAGCCCCGCCAAACAACAAGCTCTCCATTGATATGGAGGAGAAGCATTTCACGGAGCCGAGAAGCCATGATCCTAACGTGGTCTGAACACACAATCTTTCGATTTGGAGTCAGACGCGCTACTGTTACGCCACACGCCCACAATTGACAGATATATTGCTGTGCAGAATTAAGTGATGATCATACCCCAATGAGAAATTATTTCGAAAAACGGAAGCAGAAAGTTCGCGCACTTTCTGCATCTTTTCTCCCCGCTCTCTCCGTGTGTCCCCAATCGTCTTTTTTACACTCTCCACCCGTTTGTCTGTCCTTTTTCTCTCTCATCCTGCCCCTCTCCGCTTCATTCTTTCAGCCTCTCTCTTCTGGCCATTTAACTTTCCCGTTGATACATCCCTGTCCCGTCCTGCCCAGCCACCCAGTATCCGGCACCCATTCTCCTCAGACCTGGA